CTCACACTCCAGCTCTCCCTCAAAAATAAACATTAAAAAAATTAAAAAAAAAATTTTTTTTTCAACGTTTTTTATTTATTTTTGGGACAGAGAGAGACAGAGCATGAACGAGGGAGGGGCAGAGAGAGAGAGAGACACAGAATCGGAAACAGGCTCCAGGCTCCGAGCCATCAGCCCAGAGCCCGACGCGGGGCTCGAACTCACGGATCGCGAGATCGTGACCTGGCTGAAGTTGGACGCTTAACCAAGACTGCGCCACCCAGGCGCCCCAAAAAAATTTTTTTTCAAGAAACATAATTTAATTAACAACCAGGCCCCAATGTTTCAAAAGAAGTTTCTAAAACAGAAGACTTCAAAAAATACAAATGGCAGATTAAAACTAATCTAGAACACTTCAGGGAGAAAAATATCAAGAAAAAAGTCGAAGCTTTAATTGAAGAAAGACGATAAATCTTTTCTCTCTCAACCTTAAGAGGGACATCTACAAAAACCCCACAGCTAACAAGTGGCCAAAGCCTGAATGTCCTCCTCCTAATGTGGACAGGCTGATGTCTGTTACGGCCACTTCCATTTGATACCGCATTGGACACTCTTGCTAGAAGCACAAGATCAAGAAATAAAAAGCACTCAGACTGCAAGATGTAAACCGTCCTGATTCACACACAACAAGACCCACGAGGCAGAAAGCCAAGAAACAGGCAGAAGAAACAAAAATGCCAAAGAAATTCTGGGGAGAAAGGTCAGTCTTTTCAACAAACTGCTGGAACAACTGGACAGCCACGGGCACAAAAGCTGAATTTCACCCTTACCACGCGCCATAATAAAAAATCAGCTCAAAACTAACCGCAGGGCCACCTGGGTGGCTCAGTCAGCTAAGTATCAGACTCTTGATTTCAGCTCAGATTGTGACCTCAGTCTGTGAGGCTGGGCCTGCCATCGGGCTCTGTGCTAACATGGAGCCTGCTTGGGATTCTCTCGCTCCCGCTCTCTCTGGCCTCCTCCTACCCACCGAGTGCACTCTCTCTCTCTCAAATAAACATTAAAAAAGAAAACAAGAAAACACAAAACTGACCTAAATGTAACAACTAAATGTAACAACACAGGCTATAAAAGTGACAGAAAAAAACACGACACATCTTCACAACGTTGTGTTAGGCAACAACCTTATATACAAGATCAGAAGCACAAGTGATAAAATAAATTGGGCTTTGCAAAAATTAAAAACTTTTGTTCCTCACAGGACACTGTCAAAAGACAACCTGTCAAACTGGAGAAAATAACTGTATCAAAAATATGTAAGAACTCTTACAACTCAATAATAAAAACACAAACAACTTTGTGGAAAGGACCCGAACAGACCTTACTCCAAGGAATATACAGAATGGTCAATAAGCACATGAAAAGATATGCAACATTATTAGCAATTCGGGCTATGCCAATCAAAACCACAATGAGACCACTTCACACTCATGAGGATGGTTAACACCACAAAGACACTAACAAGTGTTGACAGGGACGCGGACAAAATGGAACGCTCAGACAGTGCTAGCAGGAACATAAATGGTGCAGGCACGGTGGAGAGCAGTGTGGCAGTTTTTTTAAAGCTAAATGCAAAATCAGTCTATGACCCAGCAATTCTACTCGTAGGTATATATCTCCAAGAGAAATTAGAGTACATGTTCAGACAAAAACTTGTTCAAGTATGTTCACAGTAGTAACAGCCAAGTGGAATCTACTAATCTAATGCTCTACCAACCCGTGACTGGATAAACAAGTGGTATATTCATCCATAGGGATACTTAGCATTCAGCAAGAAAAAGGAAATAACTACTGATATACCCAACGATCTGGATGAGCCTCAACTGAATTATGCTGAGTGAAAAAAGATAATCTCAAGAGGCTACATTCTGTAGATCTAATTTATGTAACATTCATGAAGTAACAGAGAAGAAGATAAAAATATTCTAAAATTAGATTGTGACAATGACTGTAAAACTTTTCAAACTTTATCACTGTAAATTTACCAAAGCCCGCTGAATTGGATGCTTGAAACAGGCGAATTTTATGGCATGCCAATTATACCTCAACATAGCTTCTAACAACTTAATCTTTTCATCATGGTAAGAATAAAACAAACAAAATTTTTTGTTTTTACTTAACAAAAAATAAAATATATTGGGTGTGTATATATTATTTTGTCCTTTCTTCCTTGTACTGGTTAAGAGGTTGCCAATGATAATGGTCATTTATTTCCAAAAGTCTCAAACAAACCTGCCTCCAAAGGGCACCAGTCTCCTAAAAATCACTTTGCCCTTCAAATGCAATGGCTTAACCTTCCCCAAAGGAAGTTCTGTTGAAATCCTCCTCGCTCTTCAAGGACCCATCTTAATGCCCTCTCCAACTCGAAAGCCTTCCTGGGCTATAAACAAATCCTTCTTCCAGCAAACTTGCAAAGCATTTTCTTTAGCTATCCCTACACTGTGCAGCTATGCTCTTGATGTAGTGACTTTATGGGCTTTTTATCTCTTTCCATTAAAGCTCAAAAGCTTTAATGCTTATGCACAGTTGTGTACCCCATCCCCACCCAATCTTATGCTCACTAATTCTGTGCCTGATCAATGAACATGAGATAAATTAAGCCATCCTCTTAATTCTGGCTAATGATGGCAGATCCAGTCTATGATTGAACATACTGCCCACAATAAAACCTTGACTATGTCATTAAAAAAGTAGCAAAGCAAGTCTCTACTTTTTCAGCTCAGTGACCTTTCATTGGTTTATATATAACACCCCACTCCAAAAGGTCTTATGTCATATTCTCAAAGAAAAAAGAGAAATTAGTAAAACGTGTTAAATTTGGCCCAAAAGATAGTTTAGGAAGTATGAGTAAGCAAAATAATCACTTACCTAGGTGCTTCTTTGGCTCCAGGAAAGGTCTGTATTAAAACAAAACAAAAAACTATACATGAATACACAAAATTATTGTAAACCTTAAATTTAAATGACTTCTACAGTAAACAAGAGTTTTTAAAATATATGGGGTGCCTGGGTGGCTCAGTCAGTTAAACATCTGACTGTGGCTCAGGTCATGATCTCACAGTCCATGGGTTCAAGCCCTGCATCAAGCTCTCTGCTGTCAGCGCAGACCCCACTTCAAATCCTCTGTCCCCCCCCCCCTCTTTGCCCCTCCCCACTCATGGACACACGCGTGCTCGCTCGCTCTCGCTCTCTCAAAAATAAAGAATTAAAAAAACATTTTAATATATTAAAATAAGGTGAATATTCAACTTTATATGAATAAACTCTTAATGGGCAAGGGAGAAAGTACTTCACCTCTTAATAATAAATGAAATTCCTGCTTTGTTCTCTAAAATCCATTTCAAGGTGGCAAGATCATAGTTCTCGGGGTGTTTAAAGGCAACTCCTTCCGGAAGCCCCTGCACAACCACAGCTGACTGATCTCGTAACATCTTCTCATATGGAACAGGGACCACTGTTGATTTGCCTAAAGCTTTCCCTGGGGTTGAGGGACAGGGGTGAGGCAGAAAGAAGTAAACATCATTTAATGTTAAGATTAAAAAACAAATCCGTCATTAGTTTATCATGGCTTCACAAATGGCATTCATACTGTTTTGTAATATCTGACTTCAAAGCGACTTCAAAATATCAAGAGGGCCCTATTCCCATGTTAGAACTTCTAAGCTTGAAACATATCCACAAGAGCAAAATAAAAAGTATATAAAATATTTATATAAAACCTACACAAAATGAAAAGAACAATAGCTCATTTCTTCCACTATTGTCTTTCTTTACAATGGCCTTGTGCTGTTATAACATGATCTTTTCATATCCAATCCAGCACCAGAACATGGAAGCCTGACAAATCCAACTGTTATAAAATATCCGGCGATATTTTGCCAATATTCTCACCAAAAACTTATTACATAAATACGATCGCCATTCACAACGAAGTGTGTTCTAGCACTTTTGTGTGCGGACATCAGGCAGTAAGCCCAGAGATGCTAGAAACCCCATTCCCCAGAGATGAATTTTACCTAGGGCCTCACAGTGTAACTGGTATCCTCTCCCTCTGACTGTTTTTCTTAAGAGCTTTGTTTGCCGTGTGATTAGGTTAACAAAAAAAGGGGGATCGGTGAGATCAGCACATAAGTCAAAAACAAACAGGTCTCTGGGTGATTATGAGGTGTTAATGTAGGTTCTCTGGTAGGGGGTGCTGAAAGTGCGGGTAGGGGGGGCGGCTATGCATGTACTGAGCCAGGGGCTACACAGTAAATCTACCTTCCTCTTCATTTTCCTATAAACCTAAAACTGCTCTTGAAAAGAAGAAAAAGAAAACAAAAAACCCTACCCCACAGCTCTAATAGGTGCATTTGCTTATTTCTGGGTTCTAGTTTGAACCAGAACTAGAAAGTGAGATCATTCCTGATGTTACCCCAAGAGGTCTGGGCAGTTTGTCAAGGTGTGCTGTACGAGTGTTAAACCAGTTCCACCATCTACCCTTTACATAATGTCTCTTTTAGAAAATGCAAGCGTAGAACCTTACCATAGCAAAAGCAGAAATAGTCCTCAACTGTTTTCCTGAGCGTTTCAATCTCTACAGCGTCTACACTCATCCGATTTGCTGGGGTTGTAGATTTCATCTTATGCATCTCTGCAGCCTTTTCCTCTTCTTCAACACCTGTAAAGCAATTAATGACATAAAAGGCTCATCTCCACTACCTTAATACCTGGCTTTCAGTAAGAGTATTTTTTCCTAGGGGTACCTGGGTGGCTCAGTCAGTTGAATGTTGGACTTTTGGTTTCGGCTCAGGTCATGATCCCACGATTCAGGAGATTGAGCCCTCGAGCTCCGCACACACAGCATGGAGCGTGCTTGGCATCCTGGCTCGCTCGCGCGCTCGCTCGCTCGCGCTCTCTCTCTCTCTCCTCTCTCCCTCTCTCAAAAATAAATAAACTTAATTTTTTTTTTAAAAGAGTATTTTTTTCCTATATTCTTTGTTTCTCGCTTTATTTTTTTCAAATTTTTAAATTCTAGTTAGTTAACATACAGTGCAATGTTGGTTTCAGGTATGTTTTTTCTATATTCTAATATTTATGATTTGTTATAAAAAACAGAAAAAAAGGGATGAGGGGGAATTTAAAAATAATTAAGCTTGGCTGGCTTAGTCAGTGGAGTGTGCGACTCTTGGATCTTTTGGGCTGGTGAGTTTGAACCCCATGCTGGGCACAGGGTTTACTTGACAGATAAATAACTTTTTAAGCTTTAAAAATAAAAACATAAGACATAAATGGCTTGAATAAAAATAGTAAGAAATGATCATCATCTCTGAAATAAGTGTTGCTGTAACTAAAAATTCTGTAAAGTAAAAATTAACTACTAGTAGTTTTAAAAAAGACACGTCTTGGGGCGCCCGGGTGGCTCAGTCGGTTAAGCGTCCGACTTCGGCTCAGGTCATGATCTCACGGTCCGTGAGTTCGAGCCCCGCGTCGGGCTCTGTGCTGACAGCTCGGAGCCTGGAGCCTGTTTCAGATTCTGTGTCTCCCTCTCTCTCTGCCCCTCCCCCGTTCATGCTCTGTCTCTCTCTGTCTCAAAAATAAATAAACATTAAAAGAAAATTAATAAAAGAAAATTAAAAAGACACGTCTTTAGAGTAATTTATCAGCTACAAACTTGAACATGAGATTATCACCACCACAAAACACAGTCCAGGTTGGAAAAGTCTACCATCTGTGTGTGGCTACCTAACACCTGAAATGTACCAGTCCAAACTAAGATGTGCTGTAAGTTTGCAAAACATACCTGATTTTGAAAACTTAGTACAAAAAAAGAGTATGCAAAATATCCCAGTCATAATTTTTAGATTGATCACATGTTGAATGATAATGTTTTAAATAGACTGGGTTAAACTATAACCACTAAATAAATTTCCCTTGTTTCTCTTTCTTATGAATGTCGTAACTAAAAAACTTCAAATTCTAGGAATGATTCGCATCATATTATTTCTCCTGGATAGTGCTTTTCCAGCCCCTGGGAAAGACAAGTCTCCCCCAAGAATTTCTAAAACTGAATCATAAACCTACTGATTAGGTTACAGAAGACCACTATTGATCCTTATCTGCAAAATAGATTCTACAAACAAATATTATGCACTTAAGAATTACATCCCAAGATTATTCTCTGGAGCACTGAATTATTGGTAACAAAAAGAAAGTATGAATACTTATAGGCAGGGACTACAGTTGCAACTGAGGACAAGTCCCCCTAATGCTTAGCTCTAACCACTGGAAAACCACATAAGCAAGGCAGTGTAGGGAACGGGAATATAAACACAGCTGCCAGGGGGATTATAGTATTCATGGGACAGATGGCAGCTGATACACACATAATCAAAACATTATTACTATAAACTTAAACACACAAACATAATCGAAGCCTTAAAATTCTCAAAATGATCAGAAATAATGAAAAAAAATTTTTAATGAATTATACTGTCATAAAGCTTATAAAGATTATAAAGATTATAGTGGGGGTGGAGGGAGGCATGCAGTGGAGAGAAGTTATTTTTTTTTAAAGGACTAAAAATACAACTGACAACTAAAATTAATAAATAAAGAAAACTAATTTTATTCACCCATGATCCACTCAATTTATCATGAATTGGATCTAACTAGATAATGGAAATTTAAGTTTGGCACTTAAAGATACATACTTAGGAGGGGCACCTGGGTGGCTCAGTCGGTCAGGCAGCCGACTTCAGTTCAGGTCATGGTCTCCCAGTTGAGTTTGAGCCCCGCATCAGGCTCTGCGCTGACAGCTCAGAGCCTGGAGCCTGCTTCAGATTCTGTGTCACCCTCCCTCTCTGCCCCTCCCCTGCTCACAGCCTGTCTCTGTCTCTCAAAAATGAATAAACGTTTAAAAAAAAAAAAGATATATACATATATTAAATGCCTATAAACAGACATCCCCACCATTTTGTTCTCTTTCCATGTTGAAGTAGAAGCTATATCATTGAGTCAACATAAAACCTGTGGACAGCGTTAGGTTAAACACAGATACAGAAGGGGCGCCTGGTGGCTCAGTCAGTTAAGTGTACGACTTCAGCTCAGGTCATGATTTCACCGCTCGTGAGTTCAAGCCCCGCATCGGGCTCTGCTGGCAGCTCAGAGCCTGAAGCCTGTTTCCAGTTTTGTGTCTCCCTCTTTCCCTGTCCTTCTCCCACTCACGCTCTGTCTCTTTTCTCTCAAAAATAAATAAATGTTAAAAAAAATATATTAAAAAAAACAAAAACGGGGCGCCTGGGTGGCGCAGTCGGTTAAGCGTCCGACTTCAGCCAGGTCGCGATCTCGCGGTCCGTGAGTTCGAGCCCCGCGTCGGGCTCTGGGCTGATGGCTCAGAGCCTGGAGCCTGTTTCCGATTCTGTGTCTCCCTCTCTCTCTGCCCCTCCCCCGTTCATGCTCTGTCTCTCTCTGTCCCAAAAATAAATAAAAACGTTGAAAAAAACAAACAAACAAACAAACAAAAAAAAACAAAAACAGGGGCGCCTGGGTGGCTCAGTCGGTTAAACATCCGACTTCAGCTCAGGTCATGATCTCGCGGTCCGTGAGTTCGAGCCCCACATCGGGCTCTATGCTGACAGCTCAGAGCCTGGAGCCTGTTTCAGATTCTGTGTCTCCCTCTCTCTCTGACCCTCCCCCATTCATGCTCTGTCTCTCCCTGTCTCAAAAATAAATAAACATTAAAAAAAATTTAAAAAACAAAAACAAAAACACAACACAGATACAGAAACTGTGGGTCTGTGAAAGGCCATAGGTATTAACATCTTACAGCACATTTCTCTACTGCATTTGTGCCAGTATCTAGTAAGTTCTCACCAACTGGATGAACTTCCAACTGGAGGATCCCAAAACTCACTGAGGACTCTGACCAGGTGGTTCCACTAAGAGAATCAGAGACCTAACTTTGCATTGTGCTTACACAAATTTAATGCACACTGAAAGACTTGTTTTGAACACACCAAATATCTATCAAGAAAATAAATGTTATTTAAATAAGAACCTTAAATCAATTCAAAATTTCTCTACCTTCTCTCTTTGTGCCACTAATCCAAAGTAATGGCGAGAAAGGAACACAGAACAGTACACATTCACCATTTTCCTTACACTCTTCAGTAAAATTTACCCTTATAGATTACCATGCCTGTGATTCATTTGGAGCATGTCTCTGTAGACATTTTAGAACATCCTTTTAGTATAAATGTCATTCTGCTTTAGAAAAGAAGACATTTGTTATCCATAAATACTTAGGCATAATAAAAATATAATACTTACAATATTTTACAAAATCTTTCTGAAAATCCTTTCTGGTGTTGACAAAAGCACGTCCTCTCTCGGTTCCAACGACAAACACATCTGTTTCATACACTGCGATACAGGCCACTTCTGCCTTGGACTTGGCCAATTCTTTACACTGAAATACAAATAAGCAAACCTTATGTTACATACAGGTGTTTAAAAGTACTATTTCTGCTGGATGAATAAAACATCTCACTTCAACTCTTACTACAGAATCTGGAATTAGATGAAGTTCCTAGTTTCTGGCTTAGATAATCACATAAAGAAGAGAGTCACCATTTTTTACAAGTAGCTCTCTTTCCACATAGTTTTGAACCCCAATTTTAAACAGGAGAAAGCAGAATTTTTAAGAAAACAAGGCAGAAATCCCTTGCAATCTGTTACAGGCCAAATCCCCGTGAAACAGACTCAGATTTGCACACGGGCTTACTGGTGGGTACTCTCAATAGCAACACCCATGAGACGTGAGGGGCACCGAACTCGGCACAGACACAGGGAGAGCTGATCACTGGTGCACCTGCATCAGGGGAGCTCCAGAGCTGGGATGCTCCCCCGCAAAGAAAGGGGAGACCTTGGGCAGGGGAGCCTCGAATGCTCACAGCAGCTGGGGGAATTAGTGCCATCAGTCCTAAAGGGAAGTTGAAGCCACATCACAACATCTACCGCATAATCCCAACTCCACAAGTATCTCTGTATGAATATACACAATGGGAATCGTGTTGGGCGAGTATATTTTTACTAAGTAGGGCTTCTCCTAAGTATATTCCTATGAAATTAAAAGTTCTTAAAAATCTTAAAAACTTCTACAACATTCCATTTTATGGATGTACAATAATTCATTTAGTACTAATATTATTGGAAATATTGGCGATTCTAAGTATCGTTCCTTAAAATAACACTGAAATAATAATCTGGGGACAAAATAGAAACAAGAGTCAAAAAACTTTCGACTCTGAAAGCAAATACTTTTAAGGTTCTCAAAACCTACTGCAGACTGCCAAGAAGGTTCTATCAGTTTACACTCCCATCTGAGCTTCTACAAGAGCGAACTCACAAAAATCTCAAAAATGATACAGTGTAACATTTCAAGAAACATTTTAAAAGGGTATCTTAGTATAATCAATAATCCACTAATTAGCTAGTATCAAACTTAAAGAGTATTGTACCTTAGATATTTTTCTATAAGTTAACATATACTCTGCTTATTCTTCTACTATGTTAGTAGTCGGTTTCCCTACTGATGCACAAAAGTACCTCACTTATTTTAGGCACAGAAAAGCTGTTTATGAAATTAAATATACAATTATATATTTTTTCTTCTGGTTTTTAAAATTTGCGCTGATATATTATTTTTTTTACTCATCTAGAGTTTCAACTTGGTACATAATAAACACTTGAAGTTTTTTGGGTTTTCTTTTGGTTTTTGTTGTTGATTTGTTTTGTTTGGACCAAATACTCTATGTTCTCAGTACCATTTGTTGCAAACCACAGCTTTCCTCTATTTGGTTTTTATTTACACAAGGACCATTCTCTAATTTCTTAAATAAAAATGATTTGCATAATACTGCTCTACAACATTATCATGTATAATTTTAAAACTACTGAGATGATCAGATATCTTTTGAAATATAATAAAGTCACAGTGCAGAACTTCTGACCTAGAGATGAGTCAACAATTGTTCTGAGCATGAAGAATAACGCCATCCTATAATTTCGTTACGTTATATTTACATGAGATATACTGTGGCTGCTCACCCAAAAGGAAGTGTTATTTACTTACTTAGGTATGGACAGGGTGCTTGCCTACTCCACTATCCACACTTAGTTGGACATTCCTGTCACCAAAGGCAGTATTTATGAAATGGCAAAGCAAGACGCATGTACAGCCCAAAGATTAGATCAAAGAAATCTATGAGCCAAAGGAAAGATGAAACTGACCTATACACCTATAATTATACTTCATAATTTACAACCAGGAATGTGAGGAGGAAATAAAGGCTGCGAATAATGAAGTGACTTTGCCTAAGAAAATTATAAAGACAGTTTAAAGGAAGAAAATGGGCCCTATATGACCATGTTATTCTACGTATAGTACAGTATTAAAGAAAATTATTTTAATAAACAGAGTAGAATTTAATCTCTAACCTATCATTTAACATTGCAGCCACAGGGGCACCTGGGCGGCTCAGTCAGTTAAGCGTCTGACTCAATTTTGGCTCAGGTCATGATCTGAGGGTTCGTGGGTTTGAGCTCTGCATCGGGCTCTGTGCTGACAGTGTGGAGCCTACTTGGGATTCTTTCTCTCCTCTCTCTTTACCCCTCATTCTGTCTCTCTCTCTCAAAAATAAATCAACATTTAAAAAAGAAATAAAACAGCGGCACCTGGGTGGCTCAGTTGATTAAGCGTCCAACTTCGGCTCAGGTCATGGTCTCATGGTTTGTGGGTTCGAGCCCCATATCAGGCTCTGTGCTGACAGCTCAGAGCCTGGAGCCTGCTTCACATTCTGTCTCCCTCTCTCTCTGCCCCTCCATGGCTCACACTCTGTCTGTCTACCTCTCTCTCAAAAATAAACGTTAAAAAAATTTTTTTTTTTAAGTAAATAAAATAACATTAAAGCTACAAATGTTGGCTGGTTTTAGGAACACAAGGTAGAAATAAGTTACGTTCAGAAAGTAACAGTATACAGCCACTGAACAGATACTAAACTTTCTGTCTTTAAGGAAATTATTTTTCAAACTTCTCAAATAGTACAAAGAAGGAAAAAAATGCCTTAAGGCGGGGAGGGTAACCAACCCACAAATTATTTTATACTGACACCTGTGAGATTAAATGCTATCTAATACTAGTCAATAACTAGGATGGAAAATACATAGCCTCCTCCTACTTAGAGTATACTATATTTAATTTCAACATCAGAAAATACCTAAGTCTGATGCATAGAAACCTGCAGGCTGAAATACTATGTTTCTAGCTATAGTTCTGTAAAAACATGATTAAGTTGTATTACTACCATCACAGTAATACAAAAATACAGCAAAAGAAGACTACTTAATAGTTTGCTATAATTAAGTATACGACACAGGTTTCTTAAAAATAAAGAGCTAACACACTACATACGCAGTAAAAGGCGGTAGAGTAAGGTCCACTGTGGGTCACAGCACATATGAACAGAAATAGAGAGCAGGCTCTCAGGGCCTCCATATCCTGCCAGTGTTCTTTATACAGATACAATAAAACACCAGCACCACCCTAGAATATACAAACTCACTCTGAGTGGCTCCAAATATTACACATAAATTCAAAGCTAATGCTTGCAAAACAAGATATTGCCTAAGATATTGGTAGGTAAACAATTGCAATTGAATGTAAAACATAAAATATTGACCGAAGTTAAGAATATTCTGAAACATGGTAACAAAATGATTTGAAAGGCTTAAATCCACAATTATTATTTAAGCAAAAAACCTCTTATTATACCAGAAAACGTACTATATGTTTACAAAAACAAATCAGTCTCACCCACCGGCTCAATCCTATCCAACTATAAAAATTTTATAGGACGGTAAGGCCATCTCACCATGGACTCAAGAGCAGACATAAGGAACGTCACCACCATCCTGCTCTCCGAGGACTCCTCATCTTCGACGGGCAGGGTAGACATTGCTACTTGGGCCATGATCCCTAGGAAAGCAGTAAGAAAGTGAGCGGCAGAAATTCACAATGTTCTTCTAAACATACGTTCAGAGCTGGTGAGGGTCCCCCACAGATGGCCTCATTTACAGTTTTCTTGCCTGAGAGAAAACATAAGGCTCAGAGACTGAGTATTTGATTTGTCAAAAACTCCTACCCTCTAAGATAGAAAATCTATCCCCTAACTGTCCCACTAATTTCCATACTATGTCAGCATAACTCCCCAAAATAAATTCAGATGTCACCCACAACCAGTTAAAATCTCTCCCAAGTGAGAGTGAGAGGAGACTGTAAACTCCACAATCCAGTGACAGTTTACGACAGTTTAACACAGGATGTGGATGCAAAGCGGCCTTCATCCCAGGCCCACGCTGAGTGGGTACAGCAGACTGACGCTGTGGAAGAGAATTTCTTCTTTCTTACTGAGGAAATAGTTTGCAGGACAAACGGTATCTAAGATTCCTTTATAATAAGCCTATCAGTCTCTTTGGAAAACACTTTCTGATACTCGGGTATCAGCAAGGAGCCTCAGTGGAATCTGAAACCCTGTAAAAATACAACACATAAACACCAAATAGTAAATGTTGGCGAAGATGTGGAGAAAGCGGAACCCTTGTGCACTGCCGTTAGGAATGTCAAATGATGTTCCACGGTGGAATACAATTTGGCAGTTCCTAGAAAAATTAAACAGAATTATCGTGACACAGTAATTCCACTTGTGGGTATATACGCAGAAGAATTGAAAGCAGGCACTCAGCTGGGTCTACACCCATGTTCACAGAAGCATCACGCACCACAGCTACACAGGCAGAAATGACCCAAATGTCCACGGTCAGCTGAACGGATGCGCAGATGTGATACATCTATACGACAGAATAGAACTCAGCCTTAAAGAGGAAAGAAGGTCTGAAACATGCTACGACGTAAGTGAACCCTGAAAATATTCTTCTATGTGAAATAAGCCAGACGTAAAAAGACAACTATTGTGATTCTACTCACATGAGAGACCTCGAATTCGTCTAATTTGTAGAGACGGGAAGTAGAACGGTGGTTGCCAGGGACTAGGAAGACTGAGTGGCGGGGATTTATTGTTAGTGAGCATAGTTTTAGTTTGGGATGATGAAAAGCTCTGGAACTAGATACTGGTGATGATTGCGGAACAATAATGAATGCATATAATGTCAGGGAAGTACTTTTAAAAATGGTTAAAATTGGGGCCCCTGGGTGGCGCAGTCGGTTAAGCGTCCGACTTCAGCCAGGTCACGATCTCGCGGTCCGTGAGTTCAAGCCCCGCGTCAGGCTCTGGGCCGATGGCTCAGAGCCTGGAGCCTGTTTCCGATTCTGTGTCTCCCTCTCTCTCTGCCCCTCCCCCGTTCATGCTCTGTCTCTCTCTGTCCCAAAAATAAATAAATAAACGTTGAAAAAAAAATTTTGAAAAAAAATAAAATAAAATAAAAATGGTTAAAATTGGAGTGCCTGGGTGGCTCAGTCGGTTAAGCGTCCGACTCTTGATTTTGGCTTAGGTCATGACCTTGCAGTTCATGGGTTCGAGCCCCAAGTCAGAGCCTGGAGCCTGCTTGGGATTCTCTCACTCTGGCCCTCCTCTACTCAGGCTGGGGCCCACACAAAAGTAACAGAGCACAGATACTTAGGAATTAAAACTCGACAATGAAAGACAGTAACAAAAATAATGACTACTTATCCCTGGATCTGTGAACAATCAGCAATTCTGTTTTCCAAAACAAGATCTCTATCTTGAATGGAGATGGAGTCAGGAAAAGCAGCATTAAGCAAGAGAATGGTTAGAAATCATTTTCCCTAACAGCTTTGGTCCCATTCTTACCTCTTAGACAAATAAGTTTTTTTTTAAATTTTGGTTAATGTTTATTTTTGAGAGAGAGACAGTGCAAGCAGGAGAGGGGCAGAGACAGAGGGGGACAGAGGATCCGAAGCGGGCTCTGTGCTGACAGCAGAGAGCCCCATGTGGGGCTTGAACTCGTGAACCATGGTATCAGTACCTGAGCCGAAGTCGATGCTTAACTGACTGAGTCACCCAGGTGCCCCTCGGATAACTAAGTTAAAGTAAATTTATATTAAAATGTGGTTCAGTCAATGGGGCGCCTGGAGCTCAGTCGGTTGGGCGTCCGACTTCAGCTCAGGTCATGATCTCGAGGTTGGTGGGTTCAAAAGCCCTGGGTTGGGCTCTGTGCTGACGGTTCGGAGCCCGGAGCCTGCTTCGGATTCTGTGTCTCCCTCTCTCTCTGCCCCTCCCTGACTTGTGCTCTGCGTCTGTCTCTCAAAAATAAATAAAAACATTACAAAAAAAAATGTTTTTAATAAATAAATAAATAAAATGTGGTTCAGTAAAAATGGACAACAAAGCCATATCATTTGCCATAATCAGAACATTCACCTAGGATATACCGTCATTATTTCTCGTAGTATTTCTTCATAATCTCACTTTTCATTCAATTCTCCAGCAAGGGAAAGAGGAGGTATGTTCTCATTTTACGAATGCAGTGATGTGTCAAGGTCATATAGCCACTATCAGTGCCAGAACACAACACTAGGACAAAAGTTTCTGCCTACTGCTATTTCCACTATTCACCCTAAATTGCTGGAAATCTGTCATGAGGTCATTCGTGTTCAATGAGTGTTAAGAAATAGGAGACAGAGGCCACGCCGACAGCCCTGTGGGGGTGCCACAGGCGCCGAGAGGTCCTATTTCATTACCAGAACTCAGGAGGCATCACAGCAATGTTCAATGGGAAGAACCTTGGAGGTGACCAGTCCCGTCAAGCTTGATGGGGAAGGATGAATTTTGTTTGGGGCTTTCTGTTCTCAAGAAATGTGTGTATATCCGCATTACAACAGAAATTCTCTGAATTGTTCTCTGTCCACCCTAAGAGGTCATTTCCCTGATTAGCTGAGTCAAGACCACTCAAGGAACACTCCCTGGCACCCTCCCTGGGCAACTGCTGCCTTTCTCTCCTCTTTCCCAGAAAGGAACTGCCATCACATAGCGGCATTAACGACAGATACAAGGGACACACACCAGGCCAGGCTGCTGACACAAGCTTATGGGACAGGAGACGTGACAGTCACTGTAAGGGAGAAAGAGAGGACAAAAGCAAAACAGAAGTATTCACAGAACCTAGAAAAAAGAACTTCACAGGAGACGGTGTTCCCATAACATACTTGAGCAGAACCCATGTAGTCTTTCTTCTTGCTTTATTTTAAAAAGGGTGTGTGTGTGTGTGTGTGTGTGTGTGTGTGTGTGTGTGTGTGTGTCACTAGAAATGAACAATAAAAAAAAGCACCATTGAAAGCAACTAAAATAGGGCAGTTAGCTCTGTGCTCAAGGAATGCAAATAGGCATATTTGTATCTCTGAATTTCATTAGTGATATTCTCTGGAACAAAAAGGAAAATGAACAAAATAATCATGTACTCCATAAGACAGTAAATACAAAAACAGAATGGATCCCTTTGAGTCTTTTATATACAGGCAAGGAAGAAGAATTGACCTAAGACAATTCATAGGGTGAACCCACGTTAGACAAGAAAATGACTTCTGGTTTCTGGATTTGTAACCTGTGTTCACTCCCCACTGTGTATCTCTGATGGGGTCTTAGTAAAGGAGGGGTGGTAGACAGAAAAAAGGTGATCTCTTTATAAGGCAGTCATCCAAGGCAGAAGACCAACGGTCAAGGAACAACCCAGTGGGTGTCCAATACTTAGAGATGTACTATCCGTACTATCCAATATGGTAGCCAGTAGCCACATGTAACTATTTTCATGAAAAACTAAAATTCTGTTCCTCAGTTGTACTAGCTACCTTTCAAGAGCTCGGTGTCCACATGTAGCTAGTGGCTACTATATTGCAGATCACAGAACATTTCCATCATCACAAAAACCATACTGCTACAGAGATTACACCATGTTGCATAAGTTCATTTAAGCTTATTTGTGAGAAGTAATTCTCATGACCCTTTGAGCCACCATGGTGGTACCTGTAATATCTCTGGTAGGTGTCCTGAGAGGAGAAACACAGAAATACAGTTTTATGATACGTTATGATTAAAATGCCCATGAGACAGCAGGGACATAGACCCTACTAAAATTCCAAGGAGGCTAACCCCCTATCAGGGCAATGACCTTGCCTCCATGATCAGCCAGCATCATCTACTTGCCACATTACATATTCTTATAGCATAAATTCTTCATCCCAGCTATGTAACAGCCCATCAAAATGGAATCATAACAATTTCTCTAAGCATCTTCATAAATATGTCTTTTGTTGGGGCACCTGGGTGGAGCTCAGTCATATAAGCGTCTGACTTCGGCTCAGGTCATGATCTCACGGCTCGTGAGTTCAAGCCCCGAGTTGGGGCACAGAGCCGGCAGCCTGCTTCAGATTCTGAGTCTCCCTCTCTCTGTCCCTCCCCCATTGGCGCTCTCTCTCTCTCTCTCAAAAACAAACATTTAAAAAAAAATTTTTAAATAGATATGTCTTTTGCCTTATTTCCATATTTTAAAATTCTTCATACTGAAAGAGATAAATTGTATGAACATCTTTATAGCTCTTGATATATCACACCAAAATTTTTACACTGTTTCCAGAAATGTTTAAAATATACGAAATTCAGGGTGCCTGGCTGGCTCAGTCACTATAGCATGTGACTCTTGATCTTGGGGTCATAAGTTTAAAACCCATGTTGGATGTAGAGATTATTTTTAAAAAGCACATTATTTAAAAGAATAATAACAATAAATTATGCTAAATTCACCAGCCTCACCAACACTTTGGATGCACAGCTATGACCTAATCACTATGAATACCTTATTACTACCAAAGTAGTCGAACTTCCTTGCTTATTAAAGAAACACTTTTCATAGTTTTATTATTTATATTTCTTCTTAGGTGACTCAGATCCTAGGTCCATTACTAAACTGATGTCTGATGGTTTCATGTTTGCATAAACTG